GGATCCTCTACATCCTATACTGTCGATGTGTAGGTCACCAACACATAAACTTGCTCAGTGGTTAGTGGAATTATTGGACTCAGTCAAAACACAATTCTATAAGTATGAACTGAAAGACACCTTTGATTAGTTATCATGATGGTATTAATATTATAAATAAAAATATGTATTCATTCGATGTAAACTCTTTATTAACTAATGTATTTTTATTTCAAACAGCTGGCATTTTGTGTGATTTCATTGTCATACAATATTTTCTAATTACTTACTTTTACTTTACTTCGGCTATCTCCTACGGGAGGATGAGCTGGCTTCAAGAACATCTCGAATCATCACTGCCCAGGCGCGGCGATCTGATGAAGAGGGTTCATGAAGTTTAATGGGAATTTGGTACGAGTGATGTCCCCAGAATCGCTCGGCCTTTTGTTTGAGAGTGCAGCTCTAGCCTTTACACAACCAAGTGTGACCTACATGGCAGTAGGAGAATATTTTCCAATCCCGTTCCCTATATCTTATTTGAAGGATTTATTGCTTCTATGTACTAGTAATGTTAGGTTTATATTTGAAGCCGACTGTTTCCGTCAGGTTGATGGTTTTGCTATGGGAAGTCCGTTAGGGCCTCTTTTAGCAGTGATCTTTATTCAAAGTTTATCGAAAGATTTGATGAAAAATGTACCACTTTATAGGAGATATGTCAGTGACATTGTAATCATAAGTGATAAGCCTTGTGCGGTCCCTCATTTAAATCGAATGAATGAAGTTCAGAATAGCATATCACTTTATATGTAGAAGAGGAAGATAATTGTTTATCTATCCTAGATATATTGCTTAGTCGGCAGCCTGATGGATCAATAAAACTATCTGTTTATAGAAAACCTACCTGGACAGGACAGTATCTTAATTATCACAGCTTCTACCCTGTTCGGTATAAAAGAACCTTAGTTAGGTGCATCTTCAGGAGAATCCAATGAATTTGCACTGAAGACACACTTGATGAGGAAGAAAGAAAGTTGAAGCATACTTTGGCTGCAAGTAATTATCCAGACAAACTCATCAGGAGATATGATATAGTCAGAACACCAAGACACACTCACCAACTCGCTGCTAAGAAGGACGTGTACATCAGTCTACCCCATATGGGTGATCATAGGAGCTTGGTTTCTCAACACAGATTGAATGGCGCGGCTAAAAAGACTCTCCATTCTGCTATTATCACAATAATTGAGAATGTGAAGCCCTTAGAACATGCGAAAAATGATGTCACAACCCACTGTATTTACTAATTTGAATACACGTATGGACACATATATATAGGGGGGACTCTTCGGTATCCGTAAGCAAGGGTGGGCTTCAGAGCATATTCATAAATGTCTTCAGGAGGAGACATAATCTCCAGAACCCATAAATGATGAGAACAGACGACCAAGCCTCTCTAATGCGAAACATATTATAGAGACAGAACATAAAACTGATGTTTACACGTCTTTTAACACCTATATATAAAACATGTTTGGGGCGTATCCTAAAGTTTCTGAAGTCTCTGGTAATTAGGAAGTTTAAACCATCTTTATGCTTTCAAAAACAACATGTTATCACACTAGACTTTGATTTGACACCAGGATAGATGTACTATTACCTCTGTTATTTGGTTTAGTGATATTCATTGTTATTTTGACCTTCAATATGTCCTTTTAACTTGACCTAAGTCTATTTTCTCACCTCTTAACACCTTATTAATTTATATATATATATTTCTATGACAAGTTTATGTGTGGTCAGATTGTTCGAAATGCGGTGTGCAAATACATTACACGATTCGAATGAACTACGTCTTCTTATTGCTTTGTCTAAATTCATAAAGGGAACTAAATGATTCAAACTTAAATAAGGCATTTGCAAGTCAAATATTATGAGAGGATATCATTTTGTAGTTTCTCTCCTATCCTTCTACAACTGGCATGGGTCACACTAATAATACGATGAATGAGGATAGTTTTCTGTTAAGATTAAGTACATTCGGGTTTTCTGTGTGACTTAATAACCACATATGAACATGTTATTTCTGACGACACTGGAACATTTTCATGTAGTTGCGTTCTCTGAGCTGGATGGTTTATTTGCGAAGCTTTCATTGCCCAACTAGGCAACACCTTCAGCGCATACTTCAATTCGCTGAAGTGAGCTTTTAGATTTGTCCACGAGTTTATTAGTCATCTCTCCTGGTGACTTTGAACGTGATAAGTTGTTTTTATGTGTTTTCATATCCTCTAAGCTACTTTTATTGGTACTGATTGTTTCCGTGATCTAAAGTTTGACCTTTTGTGAATGAGATTTCCTTCTGATCGATTGGTAAATGTTGTCTGTGTCAATGTGTCTATTGATTGTCGATTCATTGGAATACCAGGCAGGCTTCTAAACATTTTCAAGCATTCTTTGTGTATCCTCTGTCTAATATTTGAACATTATCCCAGTCGAATTGGTTGTTTTTGTATGCAGCGATATGAAGGAGTGGATGTCGTGTCTTTTGATTAATAATAGATACAGGGTGTGTAGTAGAGTCCATAGCAATTTGTTGTTTAATTATAGGTACAGGAAGCGAAAATGTTCGAGATGTGAGGTAAAGAGATATGGCGTAGAGTGTACGCCTGATAGCTGATCGAAAACAAGGGATAGTCTCTTTTCCTAATGTGACATACAATGAGGTTTTCACGATAACCATTAATCAATAAAAGTGAATGTATGCGCCGTGGCCATTTAAACTCTTACCCTTTAATCACTGTGTTATTCTACTTAAAAATAACTAGCTATTACCATGACGATAAATATTATATTTTATAATTGTAAGAACCTAAAGAGAATGTACTGAATGTTTTAATTCATATTACCTTGGACAGTAATATCGTTTTCAATTAAATCTTATCAGGCTTTGCTTTATAATCATTGACGAGACTGTTTTCAATGCATTTACTATATACTTAGTTATATATATATATAATATATGTATCTGACAGTCGGCATCAGCGACAAAACAAACTGTCATACGTAGAACGGCGCATAGAATGTAAGGGATGTAAAATTAAATAGGAACAGTTAGCAAATACAAACCCTACCCAACATATGGTCAAAAGTTTGTTAGGATAAATCTTAACACTGCGTAAAATTTATCGATTCAAAATGATAAATAGGAAATGTGAGATAACACCGATAATCGTTCAAACCGAAAGCGAAAAAAACACAAAAAAAGTAGTAATAAGGGAAATGCACACAAATAAACATAACTAAAATAAGTAAACGTGTATTCCTCTTTCCTCTTCTACATCCCAGGTGGGAGTAGGGATTTTAAGACTTGGTTTCTAGGGATTTGATTTGTTTCAAGTTCGAGATCATGGATTCATATCAGTTAAAGAACCGATGAAAAACAGGGAGTACTGGAAAGCTGTTTCTTCCTAGCACGGGACTCTTCATCAGTAGGCAACCATGCCCCCACTGCAGTTCGACCCCGGAGCCTTCCAGTTACAAGCTTGTAGACCAACTCAGTGACTCATAAATTCTTATTTCTACAAGTCGATAGGTTTTGAGCAACTACCAGCTAATGTCATCAATGAGTATTTGGCTTCACACTCTACGTGACAGACTGCAATGGTCATGAATTCTGACTAGAACTCAGTGTAGTCTACCATTTCACGGTGAAGTGGATACTAGTCGAAAGAACTGATTGAGGGCAGTTATATGTCACCAAATGACAAAGTCGGAATTCATTAGCAACTAGATTTTGGCCCGGGTGTCTGAATGGTCAACGGGGTTTGCCTTGTAACCTGAAGTTCTTAGGTTCGCTCATTGACAGAGTAGCGGTTTCATACTGTTGAAGAGTCCCAGACTAAGATGAAACTATTGTCCTGTACTACCTGTTTTTTAACGGGTTCTTCAGCTAACATCAGTCCGTGATCAAAAGTGAAACAATTAGGGACTTAACGGAATTCTTTTCTTTACACAGGTTCTGTTTGATTTACTGAATAACCAAGGCCTTCGATGTCCTTAGGAGCCGGTCAAGTGTGTGGTAGAATAGAGCATCACAAACCTTTCTTTTCTTACTCATGAAAACATACTGGAATGAACTTTCCAGTTCATATGGAAAGCATTCTTTGGCTTAACTTAACCTGACTACTTGTTCTCCCAAGACTTTATATACTATGCCTACTTCATGTCTGAAGTGAAATGCTCTTTTAATTAACTGTATTCTTTTGCAGAATTATTAGACAAAATTAATCAAAGTTGAATATATACCTATAAGCTTGAAACAACATTACCAGCGTTGTAGGCGATACCATGTACGGCTGTATTGTCTATTGAAAATAGTCTTTAAGTAGTGATAACCATGTATACACATCCATGCAACATGTGTTCAGTAAGACCAACAACGAATACAGACAAATTATGCATGTGATTCCATGCGCTGAAGATCACTATAAACGTCAGTAAAATCCCTTTAATGATTAGTAATAGTCGAAGAGTAGTCAGTTGACTGTCACATGAATGACGCGTGCCATGAGTAATTAAAGTTTAGACTTCTCAGTGGGTTACGTCATTCTAATTAATGTTAGCAGTCAGAAATTATATAATCCCTCCCTCCGCTCCCCTGCTCTTAATTAATCTGGTACATGAAGTTTCAAAGTTCTGGCTTTAATAAACCTGAGTGCATTTCAGTGGACTTACAAACAGCGCGTCGGTGGCACAGCGGTTAGGACACTCACCGACCATGTACATGGTCCGGGGTTCGATCCCCGGCCGTTACACTCCCAAACCTCGCTAAGCCAGAAAGAAAATCTGGTAAAGAGGAAAGGTTGGTCATGAGGCTAGCAACCTCATCCTGTAAAAATAAATGCTGCTACAGAAACTTCAAGCCCTTAGCTTGAAGAAGAAAGATCCTTACAAACATCAACATGTTTCCTACATGTCTGATTTTCTTTCATTTAATGTTTCTTCCAATTTATTTTCTGTAGAAATTGATTCGAATGAATATGCCAGTTGATGAGAATGGATGTGTTCATTTTACCACGACACTGTTGGCTTTAATACGTGAATCACTGGGTATTAAAACTGGACCAACTGAAATAATGGATCAGCGGGATATGGAATTAAGAGAGACTATTTGTAAATTATGGCCAGTTCATGGAAAGAAAATGCTTCATCTCCTTGTACCTCCAGATTCAGGTAGGTTAACACTATTTGTAATTATCACAAGTGAAAGTATTTTACTATCGACATTTGTATAGTGTTTATTCAATATTACTCGAGACTAATGTAAGGTGGACTCAGGTGTAAGGATCCAGCTTAGGTTTTAATCAGTTTTATGATGATAAATGCATGGCTTCTTGTTGAGTAGGTATAAGATAATAGTTTATTTCCGACATTTGTCTTTTTCCACTAATGTATGTATACTTTTCTAGGGATACAACGATTTGAGAATGAAATACCCTACCTACTCTAAGCAGCTTTTACAGAACTGTTTCATTTGATATCTGTCGCATTTACATAAGTTTAAAGAAACAAACGTCTACTGTTGCAGAGATCAAAACCGACATGTTGTGCTACGAATACACGAAATCAATCGTTGCGTTCTGCTGTTTAGCCAAACAAACTTTCTTGTTCGAATAATAGTCCCAAAAAATATCCCGACGATAGCAGAAATACAGCTATTTGCCATAAAATCTGCGCTATTCAGCAATACCGGTAGGCAGCTATACAGGTCAAGAGTTTCTGTAATAAAAAAGAAGTAATGAGAACCTAGGAGAATAATCTCCAAACAGTTGGAATCAAAACTCCGTTAGTAATATCAAAAACACTAAATACTTCCTGCAGACAGTCAAAGGTCAAGGTCCTCATGGCCATCCTCGTGTTATCAACACCATCACACAACCGCAAAGAGAAGCATTTAAGTTAAGGAGTAAAGAAGAACAAAGATAAATAATAAGGGTTGAATCAACTAGTTTGAACGTCAGAACGATGATATACAGGCTAGGAGGAAAGAGGAATAAAATTATAAAGTCAGTTGAAATATCCAAATAGGTACCATCTTGGACCATCCAGGAAGTATTTTACAAACAATGATTCAATTTCAATTCTGTTTTTCATGATGCCTAAAATTATCTCCAAAAAATAAAATGTTTTTAGTTATTCTAGCTGTATTCAAATAGGCTGGCTGGATTCAACATAGAACTTGGCACCGAAGTGCAGCAGTTCGAGTTGCCACGTTCCAAATAGCACACAAAGGTAGACAAGAAGATGGGTGAAGAGAATCAATGGAGTTTTGACAAGTATAAGAGTGAAACAGAATGAGTAATGGTAGAAAGGAATATGAGACTGAATATTACAGAGACTGAATACATCTGCACCACTGACAACGATTTTGAGCCATGTCACCTATTGTCTCCAGTCATTGATTTCCAGAGTCCCGAGGGCCCCAACCCGGAAGTCTCCATCTCCCTACCTGATTCAGTTTAACTGTCAAGGATTTCATGGATTGATTGATGCCATGTTTTTGTTTGGCCACCACTTACTCTTTTCCAACCTGCACCTATATCAGTTAGCTAGTAAAGCCCGTCGGGGTGGGGGAGGTGATGTTTAGGCATGCGCAGAACGTGACCTAGCCATCTCAATCTATGTAACTTTATAGCCTCATAGATTGATTTTCTCTCTTTGCCCAACACTCTACGCCTAACGTCAACATTGCTTACCTTATTATACCACCTAATATGAGAAGGAGATCGTAGACATCTATGATCAAAAACAGTCAACCTTTTCATATCTTCAACACGTACTGGCCATGTTTCAGAGCCATAGAGGTGGATGGAGCGAACTGCTGAGCAGTACACACGTCCCTTGGTTGATAGTCGGATGTCACGCCTACGCTAGAGATGGTGTAAGTTAGCGAAAGCAGCTCGAGCTTTTTGGATTTAAATAGGAAATTCAATTCAGTAAAAACTAGGTTGTTTCAAATCATCATATTACTAGCTAGTTCAGTTTATGTTGGCTCTTATTACTAGGATGAATAGTTAGACTCTGGATTAGTGTTCACTGCAATATTGGCAAGTAGCTATGTCAACAGCCCTCTGGGTTTTATTTCCATGACCACCAGTGATGGTATCAGGCAGATTACATTCATGATCTTAATATTTAGGGTTATAATGAATTTTTACTTCTAACTGCGTAACCTGACTGGATCACATAATTCACTAACAAGCACCTATTACGAATTAGCTGTGTTCTCGTAGTAGTCCTTCTAGACAACACCTTCAGAACAGGTTTCAGTAAAAAGTTGACTAAATTCCCCATGAATGATGTAATTGTATATCCTGGCAACCACTGTTGTGACTGGTTGTTAATTTACTTCTCTGCTGGTCACTTCTTTTACTTGGAATTCGAACTTTCTTGCCATGTGATTTAAATTTCATTAGTCGGTAAATTTGGTCTATAGTAAAATGTTTATTAATTAAATCAATTAAATCAACTAGCTCAGAGAACACAAGTAATTCCATATCATCCATCTGAGCTACAAATTCCCTCCATTATTTCAGATATCTATTTTACTATCTACTGAGCTATGTTTTGAAAGTGCCTTTGATATTGCTTGCTGAAGTATGACGGTAGGGAATAAAAGAAGTGACATTTCATTTCACCTTGTGAGTAAACCTGCAAATATCTTTCTAATAAATACTGTCAGAAGCATGCATCTGGTAAAAATTAGGACGTGTTATCTACCAGTCTTAAAACGTTTGTATCAAAAGAACTGATATGAAGTCATTAAGTTTAGCATCACTTTACCGCCTAATGAAATAAATTCAGTTTTTTGCATGATTAACTTCTTCTTCATAAATCTCCTACTCAAAGTCTTAATGTTACCCATAGAATCATACGACATGAGTATCCGTTGAGCGGAGAGAACAGTGATAGAAGTTACTAAGTGTAACGTTTTATGATTCAATGAAGTCAATTTTCACTATTACCACATATTTTTAGAAAATCATTGGAAAATGTAATCTTCATCGAATGTAATTTCTCTTAGTAAACAACGTACTGTTTGTCTAGAGAGAAGTTGTTAACAATGTCGACTAGTAATGAGATATTGACCAACGAGATTGCCTTATAACTGGAAGCTTTTGCTTCCGAACATTGGAGGGTGTTTCTCTAACTAATATCAGCTCTTGATCAAATCTGTAAATTTTGGCCAGCACAAAATTCATCTTGCTGTTCTATCTCAGATGATGACATTTAATATGCATCCCTCAGCTTTACGTTGATTCCTTTATAGCTAATTAGCAGCAAAAACATAAAAATATACACCAACTCACCTGCTAACACATTATGCTTAAAATTCCCTGTTTTTTTCTGATTTCATAGAGTTACTTTACCATAAAATGACAGTTGGAAAAATTTATGCAAGCTATCTTATAATTGAAAATTGGAGAGCTACACGTGCATTTCAAGGAAAAGGAGGGACTTCAGTAAGTTTTGCTTTTCTCAATAAAAGTACTCTCTTCACTATACTGTTTGCAGGAGGATCTTATATTACTAACTAATTACTTATATCGAGGTGGAAACTGATTTGACACTGGGTACAGTTTGGTTTCCAATGATGACATCCGAATGGTTCAATTATTCTCTTTGTACATGGTTCCTCCCTTCGTACACTTCCATCCCTGTGACACAGAGTGCTTCTAAGCACAAAGTTATACTTCTTAGATGGTGTGAAAAGTTACACTAGCTTTGGATACCCACACGCCACCTAAGCCTTTATCAGTGTCGAAAGGTGTTGCCTATCCTCCTTAGAGTTGTTTCTTATGGGTTGAATGTCTCCAGTACCTCACCAACCTTGAAAGGGATGCGTTATCTGTAATGCTTCATCCTGGCACCAGAATACAACCATGTTGAATTAAACTAGCTAAATATTAAGTGGATAAATTCTAGCTGGTCTCTAAGTGTCCACAGTGTTCCAATTTTCTCGAAAGATTTGACGGCTTACTAGAGTATAGCACCAGTTTATGCTTCCTTCAGCAAGTTAGCATACACACTGTCAAATCTCTTAGCTCTGCCATTATTAGCAAGAAAAGATAAGGGATTTCTTTAAGGGTAGCATTTTAAATGAAGTTGATAAAGACTTATGACACAAATATTGCTTATTAAATCATTTGTTTCGTATTTCATTCTTCGCTACCTAGTCAATTCTCATAGCATAGTTTCAGTATCAATCATTACTGTTTCCTAATACATCTATCTACCAAACACTCCTAAAAACCTCAAATTTTAATATCTGTGTAGTTACACTAGTGTGACTCGAGAATATAAATCAAAATGTTCATCACATCGATGAGTCTAAAACATTTTACTTTTCTTACCTGATTCCCCATTATATGGGTGAAGTTTCTTCAAAAAAATGATGCTATATGTGTTTGAAGTGCGTCAATGGTCCTCTGGTAGAATACTTGCCAACTGTTCACGTCGTCTGGAGTTCAATCCTCCAGCTACACACTCTTTAACCTCACTTAGCCAGCGGTGAGACCGGTAAAGAAGGAAAGCTGATAATGAGGCTAACAATGCCACCTTGTAAAATGAGTAGAACATGAATGCTGTTGAAACTTTAAAGCTTAAGCTTGAAAACCTGTATTCTACTGAGAACGTGAAAGAATAGAATATTACGCGTTTGTGATAATAACGATTCTTGTATACAGTTAATTGTCTAGAAACCATATTTTGATACACGCCACTCATTTATTCTCTGAAATATTTGGAAGAGTAGTTTCTCTATAGACTGTTTCAGTAAACAGTTTATCTGAAAAATACTCATGGTTAGCCACCATCCTCTAGAATTCTGGGATATAATGATAACAAAATTTATTACTTCACTATAGATGAAAGTCCTTATGAATTTCAATATAATCGCCTGATTGAAAAATCAGAATTTTGTAGTACTCAAGATTTTGAAGAAGATGAAATCTTATGGTTTGTGCTAAACGTTTTAGTGGATTTTGGGTCATCTAGAAGGAGGATTCCTAAAATTCACTGTTTCCGACAGTTATTAAGTGAGATTTATTCAGAACGAAAATAGTTAGAGGGATCAAATGTTTTCAATAAATTCTTCTTCAGTTTCTAAAACAACAAATCCAATAATTTAAGCATACAGTAGCCAGTAAAGGCAATTTAGAATCGTATAAGTAATTTATTGGGGAACAAGTATAAGATTGAATCGAACATATATATATATACATCTATATATATATATGCAGTCAACAAAAGTACAGGTTTCGAGGGTGAGTGCAATCAGTGCTGTGTGAGACAATATGAATACTACAGGAAAAATAAACCAACAAATGGGATAGACTAGGAGTAACTTCAAACGTGACAAATAACAATAGTAATGATGCAGAAATAATGACTATGATGTGCTGTAAACTTAAAAGTACTATTTCTGAATGATTATCAAATAATAAAAATGAATTTAGTGAAGTGAAATGAACAGGATTTTGTAAATGTGATAACATGTTAGAAAAGCATTACTTAAGCCTAAGGTAAAAGAAATCATAAGAAAGGCCATGAAGTCGTAAAAGGTCAGAAATGAACGTTTGTCAATAAAACAGAAGAACAGAAGAAGAAAAGAAAATTGTGATAGGAATTTAAGGTGCTAATGTTTATCGAGGATTTGTTGGCCTTATTGTAGGCCAAGGTAAACAAACCGGTTGAACATACTTCTTCTGTATACAAAAAGTCGATCTTCTGCAATTGATTGCTACTGCTTCAGCTACTGATAGAAGACGTAGTCGAGCTCCTCTAGATAGATTACCAGGAACACCGTAAATAATTGAGAACGCCTGGTCAAGTTTTATCGAGTGTCCGGTACATACCAAGTGGGTTACGACTGCGCTATTTACACATTTGGTTGCCTCTTTACACAACCATACAGGTTCATGTTCCCCTACGCGCATGGATAAAGTCCTCTGAGTACGGCCAATCTAACCAGCTCCAAATGAGCAGATGAATTCATAAATACACATCGATGAGGCCATCTTTGGTAACTTATCCTTGACTCGCTGTGTGACCACTAATTTAGTTGGGAGGCTGAGTACCGTTTTAGTTGCAAGAAACGTTTTCTCTACCGCTTTATTATGTAGACATTTTAGAGTGTCAGCTGCAATTTCCCCTTTGCAACTTAAGATGCAAAGGTTTCTTATCTACGGTATCCATCGTTAATGGGGCTAATGGTTTACTAAAATTCTCTTTTGCTGTTCTAACTGAGATATGCTCTCTCAAGTAGTTGAATTTGTTAAAATATGTAGAGGTAAACATAAAAGTCATTCTCTTCTTCAAAACATGACATGATTAGTTCAGTAGTGAGTGTAAATTTCAATCTAAGCCTAGAAAATACGCTGTTTATAAAATTTAGCTTTAAAATTATGTTGAGATAGGGACTAGGGTGAATTAAAATGAAATAATTTCAGTAGCGTCGGTGGCATAGAGGTTAGGACGCTTGCCGACCATGCACATGGTCCGGAGTTCGATCCCCAGCCAACGCACTCCTTTACCTCGCCAAACCAGAAATAATGCTGGTGAAGAGGAAAGGTTGGGCATGGGGCTAGCAACCTCATCCTGTAAAAACAAACACTGTTACAGAAATTTCAAGCCACTAGCTTGAAGCCCTATGTTCCACTGGGGAACGTGAGAAGAAAAAATATTTCAGTAGCTTCTATGCTACTAAAATTTAACTAACAACAATCCTTTCTACATAAATTGTCTGGATGTCTAGTCTGTTTAAAAGCATGTAAAAATTGAGGAGATTTTAGTCCAGTCATATAGAAAACTCTTTAACTACTTGTATTTTTTAAGAAGAAAATGAAGGTATATGCTCTAATTAAACCTCTGAAAGTTGATTTAAAAAACCTTTTTTTCTGAACTAATTAATCCGTTTGTTTATTTGCTTATTGTAAACAGAAATCAGCGAGTATATTGGCAAGATTTTTTGGTGCAGTTAAACAAAATGCTCATCATCCAAATGTTGGTTCTGAAACAGAAGAAGAAAGAGGAAGGTAAGAGAAAATTTAAATACTCTAATTGATTAAAGACGGCCACTAACAAATTTAAAAGACTGATTAGTGAAAATAGAATATTCACCTCAATAACTTCTTCAATAGGTCCTACAGTTCAGAGGCATCTATAAATGGTGACAAGCAATAATATGACACCAAGTTGAACGTCAGTGGCACAGCGGTTAGGACAGTCGCCGATCATGCACATGGTCCGGGGTTTGATCCCCTGCCGGTGCACACCTGATATCTATGGTCGGTCTGCAAAATTTGGGCTATCGATATCACATGCTGAGAATTCCATACCTGTACCAAAAAATACGGTGTGGAATCAAGCTGTAATCAAAAAGAAAATGAAACAACTATAATAGAGGTTCCATACCAGGTTGGATGAGCAAAAGTAGCTGGAACTGTTCCTTTTACTCACAGACCTCCAGTTTTTTTTAAGCGAATTGCGTTGGCCTCTGATGTTTGGAGTATTCGGTATCTAGAGGCTTTTGGCAGTTTAGTTGGTTCATGACAGATGGTGGGCAACGATTCCTGAATGCCAGCTTTATGATCTGTTTAGACCAGATGGTTTAATATTGATCCGTTAGTGATTTTTCACACATTCATGTAACCACACTAGTAGGTGTTCCCTGGCAAGAAAGACTAAGTTCCTAGAGCAACAGTCAACATAACTGACTACACTGAAGCAGTTAAATTGATGGATACAATAAGAGGCGGTTAGCCTCAGTATTCTATCCTTCAGCTGAGAAATTACGACCGATTGTATGGAAAATATGAGCTACAGCTTACCAGTATTGAAAGTCTTGAGAATCGATTTTCTCGACTTGTCCGTTATTATTTCTCTTGGCACATCACTTTTGAATTGCGATGGTATATGTGTAGAGACTTATTGGTAACAGATTTCTTTTTTATACTCCAATCTGGTCTTTTTGTCAGTAGCACGTCTAATAAGGCAATTTTATTTGGGAATTATTCTCCAAACGTGAATTTGTCTCGTTTAATTGAGGTATTATTATGCAATTTCCGGATCATTTTAACAAATGATGGACGTACCATCAATCTATCGGCAATAAAATGAAAGCTTTATGATAAGAATACTTAAAGGACCATTTTCTAGTTTGCTTAGAGAGAAATGTGGTAACATACGGAGTTCACTGTCAAATTTATAATTTACATTCATCGTTCACTTCAATATCAACTCTTTGCGGATTTCTACTTAGCTCCCAATATTTATTAACTTGGTATTTATTTGTTCGCATATGTAGTTTAACGTTTCAATCAAAGGTAGATTTGTTAATTTAAATGTAACACTTGATGAAGAGGTTATCAAGGAGAATGTTCTTTTAGACAAAGCAATAAGAAGATGTAGTTCATCAAAATCGTCTAATGTATTCGCGCAACACATTTCAAACAATCTGATCACACATGGGCATATCACATAAAAATAATAAAGAGTTAAGGGGCAGGAAAATAGACTCAGGGCAAGTTAAAAGGACATATTGAAGGTCAAAATAACAATGAACATCACTAAACCAAATAACAGAGATAATAGTACATCTATCCTGGTGTCAAAGCAAAGTCTAGTGTGATGACATGTTGTTTTTAAAGGCATAAAGGGGGTTCAAACTTCCTAATTGCCAGATAGGATACGCCCCAAACATGTTTTATTTTAACGATCACATCAGCAGGCGAACCTTAAAGAGCTTTTTAACTTTGTCACGTTTGTTGAAAATCCCAAAAATGATGCCGTTTTAATTTTAGTATATATTAGTCATTAAAATTTCAGAAGACAGTTATTAAATAGTGTATGCTGTCACAACTGTCTTTGAGCACCATTAAGGCAATTGTCTTTGCAGAATTCTTATAACTGAGGTTTTTGTTTTCAGAATCTACATGGTTGAGTTTCTAATTTAGAAACCTTACCAGTAAACTTCAAGTGCCTTATATAGGCCTGTGCAGCGACAAATAACTTATTCAGATTAATTATATATTTACCCACTAAGGTAGCTGATATACTGTTGATTTATAACAAGGTTAAAGCAACGCTTGAAGTAGAATAAAACGACATGACATTTTATTTCCTCGGCTTCCTGTCAGTCGCATGCAACCCATACAAGTTTAGGGTAATATGTACGGAGAGTTTCGTAATATACATGATAATACAACATGATATCAATAAACTTGAGATGCCGAAATAATAAATAACATATGCTCAGAATTTACACATATATTTATAATACACAGAAGGTTCAAGTTAATTAAGGTCGTTCTGGATACTCTGAAAAGGGGACAACAGGAGAAAGATAAGAAATGCATAGTTTAGCGATTGCTGATTGACTGATCACTGATTAGGCGGGAAATACAAGTGTTATGTTTTGTGTTTGTTTTTATAATCCAGTCACAGTAATGAGAATGGGATTACAGATGACATTTCACAGATATTATTATTTTATTAATATTGAGTTGACTTTCGAGTGAAAAATACAGATTTAACTGCATATCTCCAGCTCATCCTGTTATCTGTAGTCCTCTATTGCTGGTTCCATGATTACCCACACGTTCTGATCTCCTCCTCACACGACCTCTTCCGTGTCACCCTTAGACACATTCCCATTAGATTTCCACTCGATGGCCAGGCATGTGTGCTTCAGATCCATATGCATTTTCTACGGCATATTTCTTGAGCATCAAGGTTTTGGTTGGTTGGTTGCGTTCCAGAGTTCCTTGTTACTAATTATTTCTCGTCGTGTAGCAGATTTACAAACTGATTTCAGAGGGGAGAAGGTCTGCATTTCGTATTGGCGTTTGGACATCCTCATCCGTGCCGCCTGTAGCTGAAGGGATGCTTCTTAGATAAGTGAAGGAAGTGACCTCTTTCAAATTTATCCCGATGGTGGTAACTGATGCTTGTTGTTATTGGTTAGTTATTTTCATCACCATTGTCTTCTATTTCCACATGAAGTCCTGTTTTTGCTGCCTGGTTTTTCTGCAAGTTTGTTGGTTTTCGCCTGTAATTTTTCGAGTTTATATATTATTTCACATAAATCGTCTGCCAAGTTGAGATTTGACGGATGAGTATAGACATATTTTGCTTGTCGCGTTTTCCGTTTCCTGTTCTGCCGATTGATATTAAAATCTCATAACATTCTGTGTAGATGAGTTCCCGAAATTTTCACTGCAAACACACTATTACTACAAATAAGAGTAACTGACTCAAAAATTTATATGAAGGATTGTAAGACCATGATTTTCTTGACAGTCCGCAACCATATATACTTTTCATTATGAAGGAAATTGCATCAAACACACTGAAGCTGTGAACGAAAAATATCTCACTGATTTTTAAGCGCTTAGAGTAGTTAGTTATATATGAGTTGTGTTCATGTGAACTACGCATCCTAAAATGCTCAGATTAGGTCTTTTAAAATCGAAATTAGTTGAAATATGATCACCTGTTATCAATCAAATGCATATATGTTATTAATGCTTAGACAAATATCAACGAAGTTTTATGATTAGAAAAATTTTATACACTTGGTTCCCTTGATAAATTTCGAGAAAGAAAGAAAGACCAAATTTGCAGTATAAATGATATCATTCTAATTCACTTTCACTGGTGCTCATCAGCTGCAAAATACTCAGTGAGTTGAAATCCCCAATATGGATGATCAATGAATGTAATCCAAATTCAGTTACCAAGGGAGCTAGAGATTTCTTACACTCTCTTTCTGTATACATATGTTTAGTTTGAGGAGTTTGATTGCAATTACTTCAGCAAATCGTAGTAAATTCGCTGTCATTTCATCGAGACTTCCGAATCCTTCAAAATATTAAACATGCAAAAAACGCAAAAGGAAGAGAGTGTGATCAACAATCTCTAACCCCCTAGTACCTGCATTTTGATTACATTGTTTGATTATCCATATTAGTGATTTCAGCTCACTGAGTATTTTGCAGCCGATGAGAACCTGTGAAATAGAACGACATTAATTTATACTGCAAATTCGGTCTTTGTTTATCGGAATTTTGATAACTTATATCAGTGGTTGTGATTAGTGGATCCATATATTCAATTTTGTTATAAATTAACAATTAACTGTATTATGAGATTCTTCTCAACTGGTTACAACCTGAACGATAAAAATATGAATTACATTACATTAAAGATTTGAACATACTTTTCCACGATCACAAGGAGTAATTGGTAGGAAGTAAGAGTAACATTAGTCCGGAATGATTTAACTAATTAAGAGTTACAAACACTGACTATTTATAGAATAATTAGACAGTTAGGCTTGGAAAAAAAACAGAGTGCATATATATATTGTGTATAGAAACAAGGTTAGAATGTTTTAAGTCTCAGATTCTTTGGTATATGCAATACCTAACTAAGCGATAAAGAAGTATAACATTTTTGTTTGGTAGCCGACTTAGCCACCTAATAAACTCAACAGTTGAATGTCCATTACTAAATCAAAAAGGGAGCTGAACTTTTTCCCTTGCTTTTCTTACGTTCCGAGTGGAAGACAAAGCTTTAAGCTTGAGGCTTTGAATTTTGTGTAGATATGGGGTTGCTAACCTCGCACCCAATCTTACTAACGGCTAGATGCGTTTAAAGAGTATACTAGGCCGGAGTCGGACCCGGACTCGCTGCATGGCGATTGAGTATTCTATCATTGAACAACCGATGCACAAGTTAAATTGTAGATGTAGGAAAATAAGCTTTCGGAATTAAACCAAATTGAGAAAACATTTTAGGAGGATATTAAAAATATCTAAAATGATGTCTGCCTAGGACATTTGTATTCAAGTGTTCATAAACTGCTATTATAGCATGTACTCAATCACTGTGGACTGATAACTCAGCTGAAGTGAGATGATGACTACTTAGACAAGTACACGACAGTGTGAAATGGATTATGATGATGACGATCTTATCTCATCTTCATTTACATATCATTTTGTCTCTTTCAATGGATAAAATTGTGTACTGT